TTTTGGGGAGCCAGAGCAGACACAGCTGAGCCTTTAGGGAACACATTCCCAGTCCAACAGGCCAGGGTCACCACCAGGTGACACCCAGGGAAGCAAGTCCAGTTCCAGAAGCAAAGGCCTGTGGGTTTTCAGGGCTCTGACCTCCTGGAAAAGTGAGGGCAGGAACGCCGGGGAGGCAGCTGACAGCCCAGGGACAAGGAAAGGGGAACCGGCTGAGTCCCAGGAACAAAGGGAATACACTGAGGGATGCACGGCTGTCGCCACTGCACACCACAGAGTGCATCTTACTGTTAAAAGCAGGATTTTAAAAGAGATGAACTGAAAATTGGGGGCTGGAGCAATAGCACAGCGGGTAGGGCATTTGCCTTGCACACAGCTGACCCGGGTTCGATTCCCAGCATCCCATATGGTCCCCCGAGCACCGCCAGGAGTGATTCTTGAGTGCAAAGCCAAGAGTAACCCCTGAACATCGTTGGGTGTGACCCAAAAAGAAAAAAAAAAATCAACAAGAAGCCCAGTCAAATATCTGAGTCTCTTCGGGGGTGCGTGGTGCAGGGGAATGAAACCCGGCCTCACTCAGCCTGGCAGTGCTCTGCAGCTGAGCGCCCACCCAGTCTAAAAAAGACTGTCAAAGCCCACTGAGGCCACCAGTCCTGAGGGAGCTGAGAAATGGGATGCTCACACGTACCCTGCGGCCATCGCCTACCAGAGAGCTGCTCAGAGCCAGGGAATGGGATCTGGGCAGTGGAGGAGGGGACCGGCTGGTTACGGGCGGACAGTGTCATCAGAGCAAGGACCGGAGTCCGTGTCTCCCAGCATGAGGCGATCTGAAGAACAAAGCCACATCTACGAGAGTCGGGCCCAAGTCAAGGGTTCAAAGCTTCCAACGGAAGTGTCCAAGTCATGGAAATACATGGGGCGGGAAATACATGGGACAGAACCTTGCATTCAGACAGGTAGCGTAGGATGGTTAAGCTGAGTAACACCAAGGAGAACTAGGCAGATAAATGGTGTTTTCTACAGTTCCGTGAGCCTGGTTGCTGGGGGTGGGGGGAGGAATCACAGAAAAAGAAAAAGGCAGGGTGTGGTTTTCTATTGAAGGGAAACAATGACCAAACATGACCTGAGAACACTGAAAAACTGGTTACCAAGGGCAGTTTTGAGAAGTTGGAGAGCTCTGTCTCTGCAGCAGATGCAGATGTTCTTAGGGAAAGACTGCTAGCTTCTTGAGACATGACAACAGTCACTGGCGCGTGCAGTGAGTAAGCCCTGGAATGTCCCTTTCTCCCGAGAGAGAGAGCCTGAGTAGACACAGCTGACATTCAAAGGGACCATCCAGCAGGCTGGGCGCTTGCCTCGCACACAGCCAAGGACATAGGTTCAACCCCCGACTGGTGTGGAGAGCCGCAATGCCCCCTCAAGCCCCACTAAGGGTGACCCCCCCCAGCTCAGAGCCAAGGGTTAACCCTGAGCACTTCCAAGAGTGCCCCCTCCCCCCAAAAGATAAACAAACAAAATCAAGGCTCAGCCAGAACAACTCTCCCTTCTTCCTGTTTCTCCTCACTCTCACCACAAGTTCGACATTCAAATGAATTTGGGAAACGCCATGAACCGTCCCCCTTTGAAGATCCAGGATCCCGATGATTCTACTTAGTTCTGCAATTAAGAAACCAATTTATTAAATTAATGTTTTCCAAACTTGTCTGACCACAGAGCTTTATTTTTAATGAATGAATCTGAAAGCATATGGATCTAGTTCCAAGGAAATGGATCAAAAGAGACTTCTTGAAGTGCTTTATACAGGAAAAGGGTAGCAGCTTTACAAATTGTTTATATTAATTTCAATTTTATTTTTCTTAAAGTGCTTCATGACTGCCTCATTAAATGTGAGGGAGGAGACATCTTTTAAAAGCCTTTATTATACTTTAGCTTTTTCGTGGAAAAAGTGTTTGGTTTGAATTTCTTTTAAAAAATCCTGACCATATGGTGTATGGTCTTTTGTATCTTACATTTTCCCCATTCAATATTATATGTAATCATATTTTCACACCACTAACTTTGCCGAGACATTATTCTTAATAGATGCATAACATTTCTGTTTTCCACATGACTAATTTAACCCTTACTTATACCGCTTTGCAAATTTCAATCTACTGTAGATTTCTTCTTGTGATTATATCTAATTATGAAATAAATGACTTTTACACAAATTCCCAACCATATCGCTATTATTTCCTTACACTAGATTCCCAGTCAAGGAAGCACTGACAGTAAGTCTCAATTATGCATTTCCCGTGAGTCTTTCAGAAAGGTTATTCCAATCTGCACTCCATAGAGCATTAAATAGAGTGACACACATTCAAGGAAAGAAAGAAAGAAAGAAAGAAAGAAAGAAAGAAAGAAAGAAAGAAAGAAAGAGAGAGAAAGAAAGAAAGAAACTGCTAATACAGAGAGAATTATTTTCAGGTGGTCACTGGTTGGCTGGTTGTAAGCAATTTTATAATTTAAAACTTCAAGTTCTCTTCCATTTCCCTCAGGGATCAGGGTCAATTATTGTGTGGGTTCTTCACAAATTAACACTAACTCTCAAAAACTTTTGTTAGAAAAAACCACTCCTCTGGGCGGGTGAGACCCCTCCGCACCCCAAGAGACCCAGCCCCGGCAGCCAAAAACCTCCAGAACCCAGCTGCTGCCATGCTCACGGACGCTCTCCACACTTTCGGGCCAGAGCATCACCCATGAGTGAATCTATTCCTGGATCACACAGCCGAATTGGCGACAGTGCAATACTTCAAACCACACACCCTACCCATACTCTCAGATTACGGTACCACATCTAATAGGCTTCAAAGTAGGAGGCAACCAATCTTAGAGGGAAATATACATTTTTTACATACATACATTTATATATATATATTTATATATATATAAAGTACACAAGTTTCGACCTTTAACAACATGTTAGTGATCTCTTATAGAAGGGCTTAAATGGTCCCTGGTGAAATACAACTCTCTCCACACTCTTTCCTCGAAGGATACTTTCTTTGTAGCATTTTTAGTGGTTTTTCATAACAAACAATATAGAATATATTAGTTCGGCTCTGCTTTGGGGCAGGACTTGGGATGGAAACATCCAAAATATGGTGGTGGGAAGGAGTACTGGTGGTGGGGATGGTGTTTGAATATTAAATGTAATGAAATATTGTGAACTACTTTTATAAAATTAAAAAAATATAAAAAATCACTCCTCTTTTCTATATATAGTTATATACATTTGTATATCTGTATATATTATATAGTCTTTCTTCTGTTGAGAATGTCCTGTATTTAAAAAATTAATTATTCACCTGCATGCCTTCTTAGTATGATGTTTTCTGTTTTTAAAGGATGGGGGTAGGGGGGCTGGAGTGACAGTACAGCAGGTAGGGCGTTTGCCTTGCAAGTACCTGACCCGGGTTCGATCCCCAACGTCCCATATGGTTCCCCCAGCAACACCAGGAGTAATTCCTGAGTTCAAAGTCAGGAGTAATCCCTGAGCATCGTGGGGTGTGACCCAAAAAGGAAAAAAAAAATGGGGGCAGGGGTTTTGGTGAACTGCTCTTGCCCTCACTTTAACTCATAATAGGATGAGTTAAGCCTCATCTGTGATTCGATGCTCGGTTTGGGGGCCACAGGTGGCAGTGCTCGGGAGCAACATGGGCACTGTGCTCTGGGGTGCTTGTGGTGGTTGCTCAGCCCCCAGAGAGCCCCTCGAGCTCTGCCAAGCCCTCTCATGGTGCTGTGCTCCGGACAAATTTGATGTTTCCAAGCTCTTCTCCCTGGATGTGGGAGTCCCTGGGACAGGAAATCCCCCAGGTGCCTGCTCAGGAATTTTCCTCTCCCAGCCTCCACTGCTGGGCTAGAGCGTGAATGGAAGAGGTGAGGACGACACCCGGGTCAGGAGGAGGGTGCCTGGCTGGTGCCCTGCACACTGACTGGCTCAGTCTGGGCACAGGTGTGGCGGCAGGATTTGTGCAGAAGCTCGGCCACCAGTCACCTTGGAAGTTACATTTTACAGACAGAGAGAAATGACTTAATATTTTTTTTTTTTTACATTTGACTCCTGTATATTTTAATTGAGGGCCAGAGAGATGCCTCGGTGAGCTGGAGCACATGCTCTGTGTCTGAGGAGAGGCCTGGGGCCTGGGTCTGATCCCAGGCACTGCACGATCTTGAGCACTACCAGGAGTGCCAGCCTCCCCAAAATAAAAGAAATAAAAACTAAGTACATAGGTTGGTCAAGTTTGATGCTAATTTTCCAGTCTACTTAACTTTCCTGATGTAATATATACAATCACCTCGTAATATGTCTTTTAATCTATCTATCTATCTATCTATCTATCTATCTATCTATCTATCTATTTTTTTAAATCAAGAGGTGCCAGTTGTGGAAACAGGTATGGGCAAGGCCAGTGTGATTCCCTGGGACAGTCAGCTCCACAGAGTGGAATTCCAACAGAAACTGCTCTTTCTGTTTTCACACCGCCCCCAAACTGGGGGCCGGTAAGTGTCTGACAGTCATGCCAGAGCACGGTGAAGGCAGCTTACCAAATGTGATGGCCTCTCGGTATCTGTATTGCAAACCAGAATGCCACAAAGTAGAGAAAGAGTATGGAGGAAACTGTCTGCCTGTCTGCCATGGAGGCAGGGGGAGGGTTGTGATGGAGGGGATACTGGGGACATTGGTGGAGGGGCATGTGCACTGGTAGAGGGATGGGTGTTTGATCATTGTATGACTGAAACTCAAACATGAAAGCACTATAACTATCTCACAGTGATTCAATTTAAAAAAAAAAAAAAGCGGCACTTTCACAACACTCAGCCTGACACTGACCCACGCAGGAGGGATCATCACACCCCATCCTTCTCAGTGGCAGCTACACGCGCATCTCCGGCTACGGAGCCTTTTCAGAAACTAATCCAAGTTTCACTGGCCACAGACAGCCCCTCGCGAGCCCTACCTTGGTCCCAGAGGCTGGCCCGCAGTGCTTGCTCCAGCTGCTCCTCCTCGCTCAGGCCTGCAGTGTACGCGTCATAGTTCCTGGGCACGTCTTCACGGTAGCCTGGTCTGCCATTGCGGTAGGTGTCCCGGTAGTCCTGGTAGCCAGAGTAGCCTAGAGTCACAAGGAAAAGACTGGAGAATAAGGCCACGGGGGATATTTTTCCTCCTGGAAGTAAGATGATCACAGGGAATGCCTCCTCGAGGGCGGGGATTTTTCTTGTTAGCGTTGTATCCGCAGTGCCCACGATGGGGTCAGGCATGAGTGAGTGCTTATGTGCTGAAGAGGAGGGAAATAAGGAGCTCTGCAAGTGATCAGTGGTACTGGAGAGGGGACTGGAATGGATTCTTTCCACTTCTGAGCTCTTTGATATGTGCAGTATTTTCAGTCCGGTCCTGACCGGAATCAAGGGAAAGGTGGAAATTACCTTGGGAGGGTTAACTGATAGCGCCGTGCAATGAGAGGCAGACAAACGCGGGACATCAATACTACAGGGTCCCCGTGCTGGGTGGGGCCCTTCAGATGGTGAGTTATGTTGAAACAGAGAAGTCATCGTCTCTGTAGCTTGAACTCATTCTATGTCAGAGACCACAGTAGAACTAGTAGCACTTTCAAGAAGTTGATTACAGGGCCAGAGAGATAGCAGAGGGGTTAAGGTGCTGCTGCCTTGCATATGGCTGATGCTAATTTAATCCCCAGCACTCGCCAATGACCTTCTGAGCACTAGCAGGAGCGAGCCCTGAGCACAGAGCCAGGAATAAGCACTGCCAGGTGTAGCTTCCAAATGAAGAATTTTGTTGCTGGATTAAACAAGAGCCAGGACCTCATCATCAGTAAATGATGCTTTGAGAATCAAAGTCAGGTACCACTTTAATAAAGACTGATTATAAAGCAAAGCTCACTTTTCCAAGGGATTTTCATAAATCTTTTCAATTTCTCCTTAATCACCCACTGTTATAAAATGTATCTGGAAGATTTGTTTTTTCTCATAGAAAACTGACAATCTAATTCTTTTAGAAAGAAAAAATAGTCAATATAAATTTTTTTCTTCTTTTTCTTTTAAATTTGAAGTGCCATGATTTAGGATCTGTTAATGATACAGTCTAAGCATCCAATGTCCAACGCCAACCCCTCTACCAGCATGTCCACTTCCTCAACCACTGCCTCAGGGTCCCCCCAGACAGCCCCTTCCCCACCCTTAGTAAGCCCAGTACTGGAAACCAATTCTCGGATTCTAACACATACCCTGAAGATGGGTGTGAATCAAGTATTTAATTAGAGAGCTTTTCATTGTTTATGAAAATTCCAAACTATAATGAATCTTAAGGTAAAGGCCCTCCCGTTGATAGTCGATTTGCTCGAGCGGGCCCAGTAACGTCTCCATTGGAGACTTTGTTGTTACTGTGTCTGGCATATCGAATACTCTCGGTAGCTTGCCGGGCTCTCCGAGAGGGGCGGAGGAATCGAACTCGGGTCGGCCATGTTGGCCGCTTGTAAGGCGAATGCCCTACCCGCTGTGCTGTGTCTTCTTATTACCTAACATAGTATAGGCCTGAGATTAATTCTTGTTCTAACAAGACTAAAGGACCCACCACATACATACATGCACACACACACACACACACACACCCCAGGATAGAATCTGGCTCATATTCAAAATTTTTAATAAATTGTTTTTAAGGACTGGAATGATAGCACAGTGGATAGGGTGTTTGCCTTGCATGCGGCCGAGCTGGGTTCGATTCCTCCACCCATCTCGGAGAGCCCAGAAAGCTATCTTGCCCACATGCAAAGCCTGGCAAGCTACCCGTGACGTATTTGATGTGCCAAGAACAGTAACAACAAGTCTCACAATTTGCTGTGAGACATTACTGGTGCTCGCTTGTTTTTACTTTATACACTATGGTGTAGAAAGTTGTTCATAATACACTTGTTACAGGAATTCAATGTTCTAACACCAATTCTACCACCAGTGTGACCGTCCCTCCAACACTGCCCCCCGTTTCCCAACCACCCCCAAAACCCGCTCCCTCATCAGACTTTAATATAAAATAATTTATTTTAAATTGTGCGTTGCAACTGAATGACTAATGTAATTATCAAAAAAAAGTTTCAGCCAAAAAAATAAAGTTTCAGTCAAAGAAAATTTGCGAAAATTGTTACACTTCACCATGGAGTCATTAAGTCCCTGTCTGAGGGTAACTAAGCTTTCTGCTAATCTGTTTACTAAACTATTGCTAGTTGAGCCTTCTGTGTTACTGTTTTTTGCTTACTGAGCGTAGTTGGCTTCTCTCTTACTTCTCCATCGCAGTTGGGTGTGCTCCTATAGGGGTGTTGGTCTCGTGGAGTTTGGAGGTGTCGGGCTATCGGTGGATGAGTTTGCACAGTGGCAGCTGTGGGATGTGGCTGCCGAGGCTTCCAAAAGTAGTTGAGGATGGGGGATGTAGTCTGCACCCACCCCAAGATGACCTAGAGTTTTCAGCATGAAAACGGCATAGGTGGAATTTTAGTCTATGTGATCGTGAAGAGACTAATCGTGAAGCCGTGGAGCCGGGCTGTTAGCATGGCAGCTGCCCCAGTTTCGGCATAGCGGGGACAGGGTCGGCCCCCTCCTCAGGGCGCCGCACCGATTTTAGCCCCAAGACTGGGTATACTCGTGAATTTTTGCGGCTTGGCTCCCATCTCTTCCGAGATTAGTCGTGAATTCGTTGAGCTGAGCCTTTGCATAGCGGTGGCTGTGGAATACTGCTCCTGAACACTGCATATGGAGCTATTTTGATTCTGGAGGGGCCACCCCAGCGGTGCTCAGGCCGCTCCCCTGCAATGCGCAGGGACCATGCAGTGTTAAGGACAAAACTCAACCTCCCACATGTAAAGCTTGTGCTTGGCCAGAGGCCACTCTGAAATTTACTTCTGTCTTGGTTATGAGTGAAATGCTTTCCTGATACATAAAATCAAGACGGAAATGATTTATATGCTTCCCATAAAAATATTAGCACTATATACGTCTTTTTCACATAAATATGAAATAACGATAAAACATACTAACCTAGGGGCTGGAGTGATAGCACAGAGGGTAGGGCATTTGCCTTGCATGCAGCCAACCCGGGTTAGGTTCCCAGCATCCCATATGGTCCCCTGAGCACTGCCAGGAGTAATTCTTTTTCTTTTTTTTTTTTTTTTGTTTATAGTAAAAGTTAGAATTGTATTCTGCTTTTTCCTTAAATTTTTATTAGTGAAACACCAGGAGATACAGTTGTAGACTTTCAAATTTTTGTGCTTGGGTTTCAGTTATACAATGATCGAATACCCATCCCTCCACCAGTGCCCATCCTCCACCACCACTGATCCCAGTGTCCCTCCCACCCCCCATCCCACCCTACCTCTGTGGCAGGGCATTCCCTTTTGTTATCTCTCTCCTTTTGAGTGCTGTGGTTTGCAAAAGAGACATTGAGTAGCAATCATGTTCGGTCTATAGTCTACTCTCATCACACATCTCCCATCCTGAGAGGGACCTCCCAACACTCTTTATTTGGTGCTCCCTTCTCTATTTGAGCTGCCTTTTCCCCTAGTGTGTTTGGCTGGCCTCAAAGCCATGGAGTAATCCTCCTGGTACTTATTTCAGCTATTCTTGGGTGTTAGTCTCCTATTTTATTACTTTATGTTCCCCAGATGAATGCAATCTTTCTATGTCTGTCCCTCTCTGACTCATTTCGCTTAGCATGATACTTTCCATGTAGTACCACTTGTATATGAATTTCATGACTTCATCTTTTCTAACAGCTGCATAGTACTCCATTGTGCAGCACTGTTTACAATAGCTAGAATCTGGAAAAAACCTGAGTGCCCGAGAACAGATGACCGGTTAAAGAAACTTTGGTACATCTACACAGGAGTAATTCTTGAGTATAGAACCAGGAATAACCCCTGTGCATCGCCGGGTGTGACCCAAAAAGAAAAAGAAACACCACATTAATCTAGTTTCAGATAAAGTAATTTAGCTATGTATGCCCGAGTATATACGTTCGTATGTCTTACCAGGTTTTTGTGCCTACTAGTTACATTTTTATGGCAATTATGCTGAAATGTAACTGACAAACTACCCAATTTGGCATTTTCAAGGTTTTTATAACTTAGTGTATTTTAATCACTTGATCACTTGATTTCCCGTTAATCGTCGATTTGCTCGAGCGGGCACTAGTAACGTCTCCATTTGTCCCTGTTGCGTGCTAGTGTAGCCCAATGGCGTCTGTTTGTTCTAGGAACACAAAGAGCCTCAAACCAATCATTCGTGAATTTGTACTATCATCGCCAAAATCAATTCTGGAGAGTGTTGGGGAAGGTTGATCTACCAGCATTGCTCGGGGCTTACTCCTGTCTCTGTGCTCAGGTGTCACTCCTGGTGGTACTCAGGCAACTCTATGTGGTGCCAGGAATCAAATGAAGGACAGCTGTGTGCAAGGCAGACACCTTAGCCCCTACACTACCTCTGTGGCCCCGCCAAAATCAATTTTAGAACATTTCAGAGTTGTGTCCTTCAGCCATCAATCTATTCTCCCAGCCCTAGGTAAACATTTTTCTCCTTTCTGTCTTAATACTGGACACTTACATAATAGAATCACATAGTAAATAGTATTTTGAGTCTGGCTTCTTTCACTTGGCTTGTTCTCAAGGTTCATCCATGTTGAAACATAAGCTAATACATCATTCCCTTGAAAGGCCAAATAAAATACTGTCCTACCATTGTATCACCATTTCTTCACTCAGGAGGTGACAGACATTTGAGTTTGTTTCCACTATTGAAGAATGCTGCTATGAACATTATTGTGCACATCTTTGCGCGGACATATAATTTCATTTCTCTTGGGTATATTTCTAAGAGTGAATTATACAGCAGTTCTATGTTTAACCATTTGCAAGATCACCAGAATATTTTCTAAAGAAGGCGCCCTGTTTTATCTTCACACAGCTATCATAAATGATATCTTAAAGTATATCATTTAAGATTTCTCTGCATCTTCACTAGCACTTCCTATCAACACCTGCCTTTTAAATGACAAACATCAAAGTGGGTACAAAGTGAGATCCCACCGTGGTTTTAATGACTAATGATG